TTGCAGATGGCTACTAAAGACAGTATGCTGAGTATACATTTTTGGGAAACACTGTTCAAAGTATTTAGTATACAGAATTATATTTCAAAAAACGAAACATACAGAAATATAAAAGGTGATATTCATTAGAATTTAAAATCGTTTAGTAGACTTAAGTTAATTTGCACGTCCTTAATAAAATTATTAAACTTCTGTGAGTTAAATGATTTAGTTATTCAAGTTGATCAATTTAAGTGCAACAATTTTGAATTTAATTATTCAGCAAGAAATGTTCGTAAGTAAAGAAATATATTTTATTAAAAATCCAAATTTCACAAAATAGTGTAGGCAACTGACCTTGAACAGTTTTTGGATTTTAAGATTTCTGCATACCAAGGGTTGATAGTAATCGATAATATACACAAAATAGCGACTGCAGACTCAGTTGCCTGCGGTATGTAATCGATATCCACTCGTAATATCAATTGATATACTGTTGTCCAACGCCAACTCTGCCTTTCCTAATCTGATTTGACATACCAAGCGTATGGACATGAAGCTTATCACCAGTCGAAACTATTCATCTAACAATGCTTTCTCCACGTCCGAGCTTGTCGAAACAGTTCGTTTGCTAAAACTGCTGTTAAAGAAAGCCGACAGCTCTTTTTTCTGGTTATTATTATTTTATTCTTATTTCTTATTCGAACCAATTATGTGTTGCGATTTTCAGTGAATATGGAAGAAATCGATATCTAAACAAGCCGTCCCGGGTTTTGCCAGGAAAAGTAAGGTTATATCTAATTGCCAGTCAGAAAAAACAAGTTTTTTGAGAAATTTTTGATTTAATACAAATTTTATTTCATTATTTAAAAAAATGTATATTTACAGAATTTAACGTTCTTTAATTATCGATGATTGATTTTGAAAAATGTTGTTTGCTTTGCTCCCGATCCCGATTTACCGATCTCCAGAAGAACCTCAAAAAAAGCTGTCTGGTGGTGAGGAAGATTTTTCTGTTCGTGTTATACAATACAAATAAAATATACCATAAATAATCATAATATAAACAAATATATAAATAATTTAATAAATATATCAAATTTAAATTTTTTCTTTGTATTTTGGTGTTTTCTCTTTAATAACTGTAATTTGTTACCGTCTCCATGACAGTCGGGTCTACATTGACGGAACGAACCCGGACTTATAACCAACCAAGGGCTGTCATCTTGAAAGCATTCTTCAAATTTTTTTGTAAATGTTGTCTGTCGAGAAAAAAAACATCAACAACCATTTTGATGAAAAATTGTGCTCATAATTTTTTAAAATTAAATTTTAATTGTTTTCAAATCTGTAAAATATCTGCAATTGATATAGCTCTATGGTTTGTTTAATACGATACAAAAAAATAAATATATAAAAAAAATTCGTAACAATTAATTTTTTATTTCACAAATTGTTTGAATTCACTAATTATCGGAATTAATTATTTTTCAAGCTATTGCATAGCTTCTATCGCGGGCTTTGAGCGCAGCGACCGAATCAAGAAATTCCGTAACGGAAATAAACCCAACACGATCACAAAATATGCGCAAAATATTTGCATACTTTTTGAGCGTATTTCGCATATCTCAAGCTGAACAAATCAATTGAAGAGCAGGATGATTCAAAAATAATATTATTTAAGATACAATTTTTTTAATTGCAAATATAAATATGAAATTTATTAAAATATTAATTAATAAAAAATAAATTATTCAATACTCGGAGTCATAATTTTAGTAACGTTATTATTATTTTGGCAAATTTACCCCAAATACAATTGAAATTAGGTATTATAATCGGATTATCAATGGTAATAAATTTCCACTTATCTTGGCTGGCGATTTCAACATCAACTTCGCTGATAAAATATCGAAGCTGTTGACAACTTTTCTTTTGGAAAACTCGAATTTGAAAATGAATAATGATCCACAAGAATTCCCAACAAAATATGGGACCACCACCATTGACACAGTATTTTCCAGATATTTAGAAAATATCAAGTCTCAAACTTATGTTTCTTACTTCAGCTACCATAAACCTATAGTTTCAATGATAAAATTTTTTGAATAACCTACATGTATTGTAAGATAATAAAAATATTTTAAGCAATATTAACTTCTCATTTATTTAATAAATGAAAAGAATTTGTTTTGTTATTGGTCACCACGCTCGAAAAGGTGTAACTTTGATTAATATCAAAGCAGAAAAAAATACTACATAAAAAATAAATAAATACTAAAAAAATTTTTTTTTTTGATTTATTGGTAATCAGGATTACTTTTTTTTTAATTTTTTGTTTTTCTGACATATGTCAAAAAAATATTTTTTTTTTTGGTAATGTGATATTTCTAAAAAACGCATTTGATCGAAAAAAAAAAATATTTTGTTTCTGTTGCACATCGAAGCGTTTCTAAGCATTCCGTATTTGACCTATTCTATGTGACCGTTCTGCTTAAAACGATTTTTTTTTTTAATTTACGCCAAGCTAAAAAATATGCAGAATTTAAAAATAAACACAAAAAAATAAATAATATTAATTATATTTTAATTATGTATTTATTTTTGTTTTTAATATTTCCGCTATTTACAATTTTTCATTTAAAGCTAAGCATAATGCATGTTTTTTTATGCAATTTATGTGGGAATATCATAATAATTAATACAATTTTATATATTTATAAGCAATTTATTTAACTTATTACAATATAGAAGAAGCATTATATTAGATTACCAACAAAAAACGCAAAAATACGTTTATTGCAGCTCTACATACAATTATCGAAAAATATTAACAGTAAAGAGCATTTTATTTTGTTATATAATATGTGTAAATATAATAAGTTAAATGACAATAATGATTTGTTTTTTCTATAAAGATGAGCAAAATTATATTACAATAATAATAATATGAGAGAATACATTTACATACGCGTGTGAGTGGAAAGAGCATAAGTCAGTAGAAATTACGGTAATTACAACTAAAAAAAAATACATAATTAAGTTTTTGAGCGCAGACAAGGATAAATAAATATTTATATAAATAATAATATAATAATGCTTAAAGTTGTCGATAAAGAAAAATTATGAAATTTTTAAACAATAAATATGTTAATAAGGCATTTACAAGATATTGTTTGTGTAAAGTGCGCTTACTCGTGAGGGTATAGTAATTTTTTTTTTGGTGTATTATATTTATTAAAAAATTGAAATTATTCAAATTTTATTTTTTTATTTTATTTTTTTTTTTTTTTTTTTTTGGTTTCTAGAAAATTATTAATTTCACAGAATATTTTTTGTTTCAATCCAAAGCAGTATGTTTTGAAAATGTACAGTATTGTTAAAAAAACATGTGACTATCATTTTTTCTCAATATTTCCACACTTTCAATAAGTAAAGGTGATTTTTATAGTTTTTCGAAATATTTTGAAAGTAAATTTTGAAATATTTGAGCTTAATGCTGTAAAGTGCTTTCTAAATTGCAGAATACAAATAGAGTTTGCGCTAATTTAAAATTTAAAAAATAAAACAAAACAGAACCGCTAGAAAAATATTAATATTTAATACATACAGTGTTACCATAGGCACGTAATTGCAATAAGTTTTCGAAATTCGTAATATAATAATAATCGAATTTATAAAAAATAAGTTGATTTGAGTCTAAAGATATGCTCAATTTCAAAACTAATTGCTATAAAAATGATTTTTTAATATATAATATTAGAAATACTATTTCAAAATGTAATTTTATTTTCGAAAGTATAAAAGAAAAAACAAGAAGTAAAGAATTTTAAAGCTTAAAGTTATGCAAAAAAAATTTATCTTCCTTGATTTTAGAAAGCAATTACTCGAAAAAAATGTCTTCTTATTCTCGTATATATATGTGTATTAATTTCAAAAAATTTATTTTAACGTTTTTAAATTGAAATAATAAAAAGGGAAAATATTAAATACAACATTTATTTGCAAGCAATTGTTCGAAAACTATTTTTTTAAAAAAAAAATATAACTTCGAAAGTTAGTTTGTAAATTTTCGATTTTATATATAATCGAAAGTAATAACAAAACAAGTTTTATGCTTGCATTACTCATACTGCTATACATATTTGAAAATTTGGAAAGCAATTGCTTGAAACATATTTTTTTAAAAAGTAAACTCCGAAATTTATGTTTAACATTTTATAAAAATTCCTAAATAAAACAGATGAAAATTCTTAAATTTAGAAAGCAATTGCTTGAAAAAATATTTTTTATATATAAGCATAAATACAATTTCTAAACAATATTTACATTTTCGAATTTTAAGATATAAAAGAAATTACCTATAAATGTACAATATTAACTCATAATTTTGTTTATATACTCAATTAAAAAATATTTTTTTTACAAATTTAGATAATTTCGAAACTCAATTTTTACATTTTTGAATTTATATTTAATAAAATGAAATAAAATAAACAAGTTTTGAGTCTAAAATTTTTCTTGTATTTTTCACACTAATATTTATAATTTAAAATTTGGAAAGCAATTGCTTGAAAAAATTTTTCTATAACATAGAATTAAAATTTCAAAATTTAATTTTAACGTTTTCGCACTTTCAACAGAGAAATTACCTATAATTATGTAATATTAATAATTGTATGTATATTATTTTTTTGAGATAGCAATTGAATAAAAAATTATTTTCTATATAGAAATATACACTTTTGAATTTTAATTTTATGAGTTCCGAGTTTATACACATATGAGTAAATTACTAAACAAAACAAATTTTGAGCCCAAAAGTTGGCATTTAAGTCATACTATATTATGCCTATGCTCAATTTTAATAAACAATTGCTTTAAAAATTAGGACTTAGAGGTATAAATTTAACATTTTCGAATTTCGAAAACTCATTGCTAACGTATAAAGTTGTAAAATTAAAATTTGCTTATATTTTGTATCCGTTTTTAAATTTAACTTCTTAAACATAATCCGCTTCCATTACTGTATTGTTTGCTTCATTAATTTTTTATTGCTTGTTTTTTTTCCTTCTTTCTTTTTCATTACTGTATTCTATATGCATAAATTGGAATGTCCTTATGAAATATAAGTGTTTTGCATAGAGAGAAAATCGTCGAGCAGTCAACGCTTAGGTATGCTGCATTTAAGTAAATTTATGTATAAAAATATATATACATATGTATATGTATGTATGTATGCTTTTATGTAATGCCAGTTCTTTTAGAACCCGATTACTGTTTACTGCTTACTGGCTGCCAAGCTGCTTTGTATTTATAATATGTGTGTATTTATTTCAATAAGTTCTCATACAAATATATGTAACTATTGCTCAACCCCTAATGGGTGTCCCTGTAGAGTGGTGTCTATATGTATTATATGTATGTATGTGTGTGCGGAAGAAATACTGTTGCCTTGCAGTTAGTTTTCACAAAACTCTTTGCATATTTCTGCTGTGGGGGCGTACTGCATAGTTGCCGAGCGTTGAATGTACAGTTATAGTAACACTTTTACTTTCATTTTACATTGTGTATACTTTGTGTGCCTCAATTTCTTGGCATCGGACCGAGTCGAAACCAGTCGATCAGCTCTTTGCGCAAATCGTATTTACATAGATCGACTTGAAAGCCGCCCAGCAGTTCATTCTCCTGTAGTGTGTCATGTGACCAGACGGTCACGTGTAGAAAGCGATTTTGTATGTGCTCCAATGGCATGCGGTACTCGAGCTACATTGCGAGTAGATTAAGAATTATTTTCATTTTTATTTGTTTTTTATTTATGTTTCTTATTTACCGTTTCCATAAAACTGGGTACACAGGTCTTTCGCACCACTTTCGTTTTGCGCTTCGTCACTTTGGTTGCATCCGGTTTAAGATAGCATTTGACATAGGTATTGGGCTCTTGGCCACCTTGCAGCATGGGCAGGCCCTTAGCGTGATGAATCTATAAAAATGAAGGTTTGCTTTTATTTTGTTGAAAAAATAATTAAAAACGAAAACAAAACAAAAAATTTAATATATTTGCTAAAGTAAAAATACAAAAAATTAAGTAAAATCAATCTCAATGAAAAATTTTCAATAAAATATTTTTAAACAATTAAAAAAAAATTAATTTAATAACGAAATAAAAAAAATAATATTAATTTTACTAAAACCAAATCAAATCCAATAAATAATTTTCATTAGAATAAGAAAAAAATTAGTTCAATTAGAAAAAATTAAATTAAAAACTTGTTTATTAAGGAAATAGTAAAAAATTAAAATAAAATCAAATGAAATAAATAATTTTCAATAAAATATTAAAATAAATTTAATTCAATGAGAAGAAAATTAAATTTAAAATTAATTTATAAACAAAATAAGAAAAATTAAAAAAAAATAAAAGCAAATAAATTATTTTTAATAAAATATAAAAAATGTTATTCACTTAGAAGAAAATTAAATTTAAAAATCAAATCACATCACATTACATCAAAGTAAATCAAATCACATCACATCAAATCAAATTAAAAATTATTTAGTTCTAAACTAGGTTAAAACTATAAAAACTTATAACAACACATAATAAAAAAAAAGTTTTCGAAAAAATTTGTGATACAAAAATATATATATTTATTAATAATAAAAGCAAATATTATATTTTTTTCTCAAATATCACACTTCAGAAATTATTATAAATTGTTGCTTGTCCGTGACTTTCAATATTTTTTTTTGGCAATTCAAAAAAAGTACATATTTATTTATTTCACTCACCATCACTGTTAAGACACCACGGCGATATTGTAATGATAATTTTATCTGACCAACTTCATAAGGATTCTCACGCGTATGCTGTTTGATCTCTGTAAAATGATTATTATAATATGATAAAGCAGAATGGAAAATACTTAAGAGTAATAACTTAATAGATTACTAGACCCATTTTATACTTACTAAATTTAGGGATATCCGCATTTTATAGTATATACAATATATGTAGATATCCAATATCGAACAATATGATTTTAAATTTGTTTCAACTTTAGTACGAATCTGTCCCAGAATGACTTTAAGACCGCTTATCTTTAATAAGTTTTAATTTTTCCTCTGTAAAAACCTAGCTCCCGCATGACAAAGAGTTTCAATTAGTTCAAGGGAGTATAGCTAACTACAGAGTACAAAGTACTCTTTATCTGTTTCTGTATAATGTGACTAAGTGCATAGTTTAAACGAAAATTTTTAGCCGAATAGATAGGAATGACGATCTATCTACGAGTTATGCTCTCATTTACATTTAACATTTGATAGGATCTTCACACAAAGAGATATATTTTATACAGATCATTTAGCCGTAGTTGATTTTTTCAGTTCTTTTTTTATGGTTTAAGCCACCTCCAATCAAAACGAATTGTCTGGCCTAAAATTCTGTCCTCATATTCAACACCCTTTAAATTCTATCAATCTTCACTTTATGTGGAAACAAAGCATGTTCTGCCTAAAGATATGCTAGTGAGAACATGTCTTGAAAGTCAAAATCAGCTGTTCTACTTTCACTGCCGAAGTCTTAACTTTATATACTGAGGTAACTTTATATATTTGTTGACCTATTAACATATATTACGCATATACACATGGATATTCATTTAATCTAATCGAAAGCGAATAGTAATAAGAACAACAAAAAGCTGCTACAGCGCGTTTATTACGAAATACCGATAACACAAATGTTCAGAAAAATATATTCAAACGCTTGTGTAAGCATTTGCCCACTAATCGTGACTAATTAACTTCTGTAGCGAAATAACACAAGCCGGTTGAAGCTGTGACTTGGGGTGTGTTTGTTTTTGAAATTTAAAAATCCGAGCGGTATCCGTACATAAAGCGTTTTTTAATTTTTATTCTGGGAACCATATATGACATATATAAGACCTCTCTCGACTAAAATCCAAAGGACAATATAGTAAAGCTTTTACCTAAAAATTGCTTAACAGATCGAAACTTGAAAGTATTTAATGAGAGAATTGTTTTACATAACTTATAGTTCGGAAATATGGCTAACTGGGGAAGAATCTGATATCAGCACATTTTCTATCTATTTTCCTTGAGATTAAACTAAGCCGCATTAAATTTTACTTGTGGCTTAGTGGGAGAGAGAGAAAGAGAGAGTGAGAACTTCAGTGGGACCTTGACTTATAAATGTGGACCCGTACCTTAATCCACAAGATCTTTCTTGCAAGGTATGAACGACTATGTAAAAATGTATTGTAGTATATAAAACTATGTCACCGCAATGTTGGGGTTGGATGCTTGCTTTCGGACTCACCACCTAAAACGCAGTTGATAATAAAACGACAATATTGTGACGTTAAAGTGCACCACTTTTGACGGCGACCAATGAAAATGAACTGAAGAATATGGTTAATCAAATATGTGGCAGAAACCCCACTATAAGAAAGAAACGGCTGTTGCCCACTAAACTAAGCGAAGACAGTAGCGAGTAGTTTATGCTAATATACTTGGCACACAAGAGAGGTGATCTCACAAATTTCGTAAAATATCATGAAAATAGCTGATTAGTTGTGTGAAAGGTTAAAAACCCGTCACAACTTACTTATTATCAGCATAGCTTCAGACTTGGCAAATCTGCAAGTGACGAAATTTTAAGAAATTCCAAAAATATCTCCAACCCCGACAAAGAGGAATACGGTAGAAGAAAAACAAACCAAAGCAAAAAACAAAATTATTCTAACTTACTTCTATTAATTTTACTAATTCCTTCGCAAAAAGTACAGGGTATACAATTTTTGGTGGCGACCGAACTTCACTATTCCTTACTTTTTTGTTGTAGTTTTTGTTATTCTTTGACTACGAAGCTGCACGTGTCACACGCTTATCAAAAGTAACATATCGAGTTAGTTACTTACCTTTAACTTTAGACACCGTCAACTTAGCCTCCTGCTGATCACGCAACAAGGGATGAAAGAATGTATACACCAAATCCGAGTGCGCAATCTCATCCGCTGAATTGAAGAGTGAGATGAGAAAACGTTGTATTTGTGGGAGGCGACGCTCAGCTACCGACTTCACATTCGAGCGGCCGACATGCATGCCACTTGGTAAACTAGAAAAAATAAAATAAAGAAAACAACAACAATATAGTACATACGAAAATAAATAATAAAAGATAATTGAAAGAAATGTAAAGAGAAATTCAAATAGAGCGAGTAAGTTAGAGCTGCATGGAAATGAATTAGTTGGCGATGGAGTAAAATGTAATAACAGGGCTAATAAAGTTGGGCCGTCATAAAAGTGAGCGGTGAGAACAACTTAAATAAAAAAAAGTGAAATTAATATAAACAAATTATAATGAAAACACATTTTATGCGTTTGTTTTTATAACGCAAATGTCAGGGAAACGTTGATAAAATTTGTTGCAGAAAATATTAAATTAAATTTATTATGTAGTTCGACGTAAAACATATCATAAAAGCGCTAACAGAGATCGTGCCAACTGAAATAGCGACAGATGAGAGCTTTTTTGGTGCGACTAATAAGGGAATGGCACGTGTGATAGGTAACAGTTAATCTACAGTAATGGTTGAAACAAATAGGCAATATACAAGTATTAAATTTGCTAAGCTACAAAGAGTATTTTTTACAACTTCGGTGGTGAAAAAAATTATAAAAATAAAAACTATCAAACATGAGGGTTATTAAAAAAGAGGTTTAAAAAAATAAGCAAAACAAAAAATTGGCAAAAAAGAGCAGTTTAAATAAATAAAATTAAAAGTTAATATAAAATAAATTAAATATAAACTAGTAAGGAGAGCTTGAGTTCGGGTGTAATCGAACGTTTTGAGCTCTTGGAACTTGCAAGGATCAAAGCCGGCTAAATACTTTCAGTTGTTGGCAATATTAAAAAATTTAGCAAAACGATTCAACCTCATTATTCCATGAAATTGTGGGATTACAATTAAATTTTGGTACCATATTAACTTAAAGGTCATATTCACATAGTTTTATTACTTAATTTAACTTCCCATCAGCGAAAATTATACTTAAATCATACTCAAATGAGATATATCTGACATAAGCTCAACCGAAGAGGCTAAATTTAATATACTGAGTTGATGTGCAAAAGTCACTCAAAATTTTAAAATTCATTATATTAGGATTATGAGGTTTAGACCAAGACCAATTTCATTTATATTGGGCGCCAACCCTTAAAAAAATTTTATAGCCTTTAAGAAAACGATTCCACTTTATTTCATCAAAATATCACACATTTTGAACAACCTAAACGGTTTAAAGTCAAGTGGAAAGTCGGAAATCATTATATAGGACATATTGAGGGCAGAGGAATGGAAGGGCTGATTGCATTAATTTTTGACATGGTACAGATATACTTAAGAACTCATTTTCAAGCAATTTTATAAATATAAACATGTAGATGGAGTAAAGTCAGCCGAATGTTTCATAATCCTGAATATCAGTTATATGAGGGCTAAGGCAAGTTTTCATCCGATTTTATTCATTTTAGGAAGAAAGATATACTGTTATTGAAAAAATACGCTCTCTCAGTTTAATTAAAATAATACCGATATATGTGGTATAAAGTCAATTGAAAGTTGAGGGCTAAGGGAAGTATTGACCCGATTCAACTCATTTTTTACAGAAGCGTTAATTATTTTCAAAGAAACATTTTGCAAATTTTAATAACATATCTCTTAAATGGACTAATATTTTCGGGAAAAAGTCAGCCACACGCACTGGGGTACACATATTCGGTATGTGGGGGATTGAACAGTTATGGTCTGATTTAAACAATTTTTAGACTCAAATACACTATTTTTGCAATGTTTTATCCGAATAAATTCAGTGCTGCTTTATTTGTGTACTGGAAAATGAAAGAATCATATGGAATTTGAAATTGTGCTATATGGGAAGTAGGCGTGGTTGTATCCCGATTTCGCCTATTTTCGGTCTGTGTTCTGGCGACTATAAAGCCTACTAGTAGCATCTCGGTTGTAAATTTTAATTTCAATTTATAGGTTTTCGATTAATGTCGTCTTGTGGGCGTGGCAGAGGTCCGATTATGCCCATCAACGAACTCGTCCGCCCATTTTTGCCAAGGAACACGTGTTCAAAGTTTCATAATGATATCTCAATTTTTACTCAAGCAAGCTGTAGCACGGACATACGGACAAACAGACAGTCATCCGGATTTTGATTCGTCTCGTCACGCTGATCATAAGCATATACATCACCCTATATCTGGGTCGATATTTTTAGTTGATAAGTATCAGTAAAAAAGTAAAAAAATAAGGGTTGGATAAATGAAAAAAAATTAAATAATATATGAACAGAAAAAAAAATTTTACGAATAAATAATATATATCTGATAAAAGTATTTAAAATAAAGGATGTAATAGATTAAATAGCAAAATTTTATAATAATATTTAAAAATAATTAACCAGAAAATAATAAATTTATGAAAAACATAAATGAAGTTATATAAAAAAGAGTAAAAGTAAAAACATTTAAAATATATATATAAATGAAAAACTTAAAATTAATTTTAAATAAAATAAAAAATACCCAAATTACAGTAAAAACTTAAATAAATGAAAAATAAAAGTTTTATGAAATAATGATACTAAAATTAAAATTGAAAAATATTAAGATAAAAAATAAAATCAAATAAATTGATGTCAAAATTAAAACAAACAAAAAAAATTAAACAAAATCTTTACATAAAAAATGTATAAAAACTTTCAAAGCAGGCAAGAACCCTACCCGACGCGGTAACACCAATGGCTGAATAGTAATGAGAAATTGTTGCCAAAGAGTAAAGCACAAAAAACTAACAATAGCAACAAAGTGTTTTATTAACAATTCATGGCAGTGGTTAAAGTCAAAACAATTGACGTTGAGTAGATTCCGGTGGTTGTTGTTGTTGCCAAAACAGTAGTTAACAGCCAACAAGCCAAGCAAACAGCCAGCGAGCGGGCTAACTTAGCAACCTCGAAGCTTTTGTCATTCGATTTGATAAACGCGTACGAGGCAGACACGCCGAGCAAGCGGCAAAATCGAGTAACAGTAACAAAAGTAATATAGAAAAAAATTAAAGTAAATTACAAAAACAAAAAAAAAATACCAACTAAGCATAAAAAAGTACAAGAAGAAATTTTAATTGACTTCTTAGATATCAAGGCGTGCAGCAAACAAGAAAAAAAATAAAAATAAATTAAAAAAAACGCAGTGATAAGCAAAGTAACGGTAACAGAGTTCGATACAAACGTAATTGCAGCAAATTCAAAATAAAAGCAAAAACGCATAAAATCGCTGAAGTTTTGCTGCGTTCGACAAGGCTAAAGTGTTCAAAAATACATATCTACACACATACAAACACACAAATATATGCACGTATGCGTGTGTGGTGCTCAAAAATGCTCTGACAATATGAAACTTCAAAACGCAATGTGAAATATCAAAATTATTTGGCAACAAAAATTTAATTAGAAACAAAAGTTTTGAAATTATAGCAAAATTATGGCTAAAATCAGCAGTATCGATGCAACTGATATTGGCGGCGTCAGCGCCAATAGCGCAGGTGGGCTAACAACAACAATTACAACAAGCATATTTATTTTGCACTACAAAATCAAACTCAATTTATCAACTTATTTCACAAAACCAAAAAAAAATACAAATAGGTGACGATAATGGTATCTTTGCCATGCTGGCATGTGTTGGCGTCTTCATTTGCATGATATCCACATTGGTGGGCATAAAAATTTGGTGGTTCAAGCATCGGCTGACATTCGACCATAGCCGTACGAGTAATGGTGCGGCGGGTGGTGCCACGCCTACTTTGCCGTTACGTACGCGCAGCAGTCGGGAGAAACGCATTTCGCAAGAGGTAAAGCAATGAACAAAGAATTGAAGAGGGCAAACGAAAACGTGTGTTACGTCTAAGAAATTGCAAGAAGACAAGTGTTAAGATTCGCTGTAGTTGGGCTCTCGAGGTCTGCTTCGCAGTGGCTTTAGGAGACTACGGTGTGGACTGTAGTGTCTAGCAAGATTTTAATTCTTTTTTGCAACTTTTAACGGTTTACGCCTGAGCTTTGTGCGAAATCTAAAATCGGCGTTGAACTTTGCCAAGTTGGTGTTTGAGTTATCAAATTAAATCCAGTTCAGTTTAGTGAATGTATGCATATATGTTTTTGCAAAAGAGATTTTGAAGCAATTTTTGTAGTCGTTTCGAAGTTGTAAGCATTGTTTACGAATCTATATGAAATTTCGAAAATTGAGTCTAAAATTAGCAATTTAAGAAACAATTGCATTTTTTTTGTTTTGTTTAGTTGTATTGCTTGTTTGAGAGATATTACTAAGTTGGTGCTTGTAAAATCAAAACAAATTTTCATCAGTAAGGCAGATCTATACCTGAAACACTTGTAAAACCAGTACATGAACTGTTTTACCTACGTTTATTAAAATTATATGCGCTGTTTATTGCTTAGCATGATATCTTGAAAAGTATGGTCGCCAATAAAATCGCTGGTGCTAAAGAAAGTAAAGTTTCTCAAATAAACTTAAGTTTACTCCATTTATTTTAGCTTTCATTGCATAGCATAGTTCTATCTACTTATCGATTCTCTCCTCTCATGTAGCCGTCGGAAATGTTTTACGAAAGCGATTCACCGCCAACAGCGTCTCAATCAACAACTCTACGTATAAGTTCCGTGTTTTATTGTGCATCATTGGAAATTTCAGAAAATCACAAGCTGAATTTTCAACTATTAGATAATGGACAATTGCGAATTTGCATCAATAAACAATAATGTTTGTGGAGAATGAATGGCTTTGTGATAGTAAAAAAGAAAGAAGAAAAAAGAGAAAAAGAAAAAAAGATAGTACTAAAGACTGTTTTATTAATTTCATAAGGTGTAAAGATCGTGTTCCTAAAATATTTAGGTAATCAAAGATACAATTTGACGATAATTGTAGTAATGATATTTATATTGTCTTAGTCTTAGGTAAGCTTCGTAACTGTTGTAGCAGGGTACAACAGAGTTGAATTTGTAGGTATTACCTGAATCAAATCTGTTTATGAATATCTTTCAACGAAAGAAACGATTTTATAGCAGGTTGTAACAGTAAATTTTATTTTTTCATTTAGCTCTAAAAATGAATAAGATTAGCAAAATTTTATACGGGTTTTATACCAGTTCAAAACTTTTCTTTTATAGAGCCAGCAGACAACAAGATAGGCTTAAGACCGAAGGAAATGAAAAGGCACTCACACGACAGTGGGTCAACGTAACCGGAACCGGCAGAATTTTGTAAAATTATTTCGGCAATGCTTTTTGTGGTTAAAAAAATTACAAAAAATTGTTCACAGTGATAAATTTTTTTTAGAAAAAGAGAGAATGTAGTTTAGGTCAACTTCGGCTTGTAAAAAAACCGTAACTGTTCGGGCAAGTTTTTTTTAAGCTGGAAGAAACTATAGTGCCTCAGGAAAGGATAATTAAAAAAGAAAAAATTTTCAAAAGATCTGAGCACTCGAAAATACTGCTTGACTACAATTAGACAGGGATATGTTTAGGAAGTGTTTAACAACAACAGGTAGCTGTCAATTCAGGTTAAAATTCGGTCTTGACAGATAAGATTATACGAGCATACGTGTTTAATTTTTTTATATAAAATAAAAGTAATAAAATAAAAGATATAAAATGCATAAAAATATAATATATACTATATAAAAATTTATACTTTCGCAAAGTCAAACGGTATACTCGTTTGAGATTTCTCTATATATTTTGCTTGATTTGCATAGTGGAAAGAGAAAGAATCAGATGGAATTTAAAATGGTGTTATATGGGAAATAGGTCTTATTGTGGAGCTTAGTTATGGCAATTTATTTGTTATCTCAATTTTTACTCAAGTTACAGCCTGCACAGACGGACGGACGGACAAACAGTCATCCGGATTTCAACTCGTCTCTTCATCCTGATCCTTTATATATATATAACCCTTTATCTAACTCGATTAGTGTTAGGGGATACAAACAACCGTTAGGTGAACAAAACTATTATACCCTGTAGCAACATGTTGCGAGAGTATAAAAATAGTAAAACTCGTATATATGATAAAAACGTAAAAAATTTTCAATAGATTTGAACCACTTCAAAAACAATTGAAACGCATAACTTCAAACGATCCACTTAGACTGTATTAGAATAACTGATTAAAGATATATATATAATGTGCTTATATTATTTTACGATTGTAAATAGGTCATAAATCTGGATAAATTTGATAGTGATAAGAAATGTCGATAAAAAATGGAAAATAGGTGGTGTGAAAAATGAGTTAATTAACAGAAAATAGAAATTTTGGAAATTTTTGAGGTGCGGGCATTTACTATAATTTACTATATACTTTATAGCAAGAATGTAGATTATTTATAGATAATATATGTATATATGATCTTGGAAATTTTGAGGAGCTAGCATTTACTTTATACTATATAGAAAGTACGTAGATTATTTATAAGTAATATTTATATAAAAAACATATAAGCCATATACAAATTACATATAATATGTTAAAAATACAATATAAATATTGCATAAATATATAATTTCTACAGCCCTATGACGCATAGCTCCAAGCACATATTCATCTTTATACACACACCCAACCCATGAGACAGAAGCTTCCTTCCACGCCGTGCCTGTCACTTGCCAACGGTTGTAAGACAAAACTAAGCAAAACAGACTTTATTGAATGTTTTCTTTTACCGATCAACATATGACTAGTTACATATGTATATGCAATATTTATGATACTCGGACGGACAGGCAGGCAGACAAATGGTGCTCCCAGTCAAAGAAGTGCGTTTTGGGGAAATTAAAGCTTTGTCGCACTTTGATTTTGATAACACAAATTAATTGGTGTGCGCATGTGTGTGTATATTGTATTGGGTAAATACAGTAAACCTACGTATGTATGTGTATATGAGTACATGTATGCACAACTGTACAGCGCTATCGGTTATACAACAAAAACAAAAAACACAGCAAAAAAGGAGAAGCAAAAAGTACCAGCTTTTACGTTGATTGGTTTTGCTTATCAGTGGCGGCGGCGGCGACGCTTTGCAAGCCTTTTATCGGTTTACAGATATATTTTTATAGTTTTAGTTGTTGTTGCTATTGTCTTCTATCTTTTTAATTATGCAAATAAAATGTGCATTAGTCAGATTTTCGCCAATAATTTATTTTGTTTGCCTTTTTGCCATTTGGTTAATATTTATATCGACAATTAATTCATATACAAACATGCATATCAAATATGGGTGCACTCTAAGAGTGCAATGAAACTTTCCATGAAAAAAAAAATGTATGAAAAAAAAAATTGTATGACAAAAAAATTGTTTAATAAAAATAAATAAATAAATATAAAAAAAAATAGTAAATCCAAAAAAAAATGTATATCAAAAAATTCATTTTTGAGTGGTTAAAGGTTGGAAAAATATATATTTGTACATACATATATATACATTTTTTTAATTTGAAGCACCCTCATGTAAATACATATATATATATACCTATATAAACAATAATATAATAATAATTTGCTTTTGTTCTTGTGCAGATACGTGAACCAGTTGAGGTGCATGGCGTTTTTCGGCGCCGACAAGAGGATGATTTGGACATTGTGCCAACAAAACAATTGCCGCGTATGTATTATTTATGTAGTGCAAATATGTATATATACGAATATACATGTGTACATACATATATATGTACATATGTGTGTATGCTTTAGTGTTAGGGAACACACAATTTGTGAAAATACTTACATATGTAAGTTGTGAAGTTTCGAATATAACATATGGTTTGATATTCAAAGAGCTTTAATTTTTTATTAAGCTTTTACAGTAAACCCAAATTAAGTTTAACATTAATTGAAAAAAATAACATTTCGTTTTGCATACATACATACATAAATGTTTTTGAACGCTGCTTTGTTAATTTAAAATAATTTTGTTTTAATTAAACAAATTTTATATTCCAATTTTCGTTTTTAACTTTTATATTAATTAAATTTTTTTTTTCAATTGAACTAATTTTTTATTTCATTAAAAGTCATATAAATTAATTAAAATCAAATTTTAAGTTTTTATTTTTTTTATTTAATTTAATTTTTTATTTAGTTAAAAGTCATATAATTTAATTGAAATAAGTTTTTAAGTACCTTAATTTTATTAAATTAATTTAAAAATAACAAAATTAAAAAAAAAAAAATATTTTAAATTTACATATTCTTTAAAAACTCGATTATTTCTTTGGAGCTTAAAAAAATTCTACTTTCACCAATTTTATTTTTGAAAATTTGTGTAATTAAAATTAATATATTGTAATTGAAATATAATTAAAATCAATTTTCATGCGATTTAAGTATTTTTTATATTATTTTTAGATCTTAATTATTAAAAAAAAATTAATTTTTGTAAAGAAATCAAAAATTAAAAAAAAGAAAGATCTTATATTTTATATTACATTTTTTTACTCGTTAACAAAATTTTGTTATTTCATAAACATACAACATAAACAATAAATAAAATTTGTATTTTTAATTAATTTTAAAAATATTATTTTTTTTACAAATAGTTTTGCATCATTTTATTTATATTATTTTATCTTATCAATATTTTTTTTTATAAAAAAGAAATCGTATAATGCAAACAAATGATAAAATAATAATATTTCGAGCATAAACAATTTTTTATTTTTAATATTTTGCGTTATGCTTTTTTATATTATTTTTTATTGTTACTTTATATTATATTATTTTGATATAATTAAATGTGGAAATAACAGAGTATACTTTTAAATTTTACTTTTAAAAATTTCTATATTTAATAAAAAAACTTAAGATAAATTAAAAAAAAAAATTTGTTAAATCAGTTATTACTTTCATGACTTTTATAACAAAAAAGTAACAATAATTTTGTTTGAAAAATTTCTTGCTTATTTTTTAATTTATTTTATATTACTTTTAATATCACCATATATTAAACAAAAAAAATTATATTAAACATTTCTCATTTTTGTGTCCCACTTTATTAAACAAATATTTAAAACTTGCAAATTTTATAATAATAAAGTTTAATGTTTATGATATTTTATTTTTTTATTTTATTTATATTTATGTTAATATTTAATGCTACTTTGATTTTTGTCATTTTATTATTTACTTTAAATTTTAAGAATTAATTTATAAAATTTTTTATATATTTTATTTTTGTATTTTTTTTTTTTTGTATTAATTTTACTTATTTTCATTTTATTTTTTTATTTTATCATACACTAAACAGAGGTATTTTAAGTTCGCAATGGTGTTTGAAACAACCTAAGGAAAACGTCGGAGACCCTACAAAGTATATATAATATATGACGTGCTGAGTCATTTAGTCGTGTCCGTCTGTCCGACTATATATAAGTTCTCGTATGTGAACTAGTCCCTCAGTCAGACCAAAAATTTTGCATACGTTCTTTTCTCACCAAGATGCTGCTCATTTGTCGGAATCGGCGATATTGGACCACTATAGCATATAGCTGCCATATTAACTGAACGAACCAAATCAAGATGAAGATATTTTTATGCCATAAAAAATGCACCTGCGAAGGGTATTATAGTTTCGGAGAAGCCGAAGTTAACGCTTTTCTTATTTCATTTCATTTTTGTTTTCAAGTTCATTCTATTTTTCCTTCGCATTTAATTTTCAATTTCTTTTTTATTGTATTTTTATTTTTAATTAGATTTATTTTAATTTGCCTTAAGGCAATAAAATGTAGAACATATTTATTATTATTATTATTAAATTTCCTTTCATTTCTTTCCCAGCCGTTCGCATACGCAATCTCTCTCAAAGCACACCCTCACTTTTTCCACTCCCCCCAACACGTCGGCAAGATCGTGTACGCAGTGCCATCTTCGAAGAATATGAGCCGCCAACACGTGAACCGCCAAGCTCACCAGTCGACTCACCACCACCGCAACACACGCCCACCATAAGTTTGGTCGAAGAAATGCCCACTTTCGATGAACTGGAGGAGAAGTACAGGCAAATGGAACTAGATGAAATAAAAGCAAATGAAGTGAATGTCGAAGGTAGTGATAAGAGTATACTACGAGAGCGTGGATCACCACCACTACCACCGAAACGTATCAATCGTAATTCAAGCAAAGAGGCGAACTATGCTTCGGCGGTGGGTATGCATAAGTTCGTGAAGGCCAAGTCGCCATCGTTAGACACAGTAAGAACGCAACAAAATTTGAGTGAACGGCGTGCAACGGGCTATCTAAGGCCCGACGAGGTCGATATCAAAGTGGGACTTGCTGAAGCCCGCGATTTGAAAGCAATACGTGCGCACAGCGTAGAAGAGTTCGGCGAACGTCGACCAACCGGTTACATCAAGTACGAGGAGATCGATACGGATGGCTTGGAGGACTTCCGCAATAAATGGGATGCGTTGCAAACGAGTTTTGGCGCACAAAGTCCCATATCCTATGAAAGTAGTGAGCGTACAGCCTTCGAAAGCATGCACGGACACAATTACGATCACCTCAATCGTGCGAGTGCTGGTGAGTTACGTACAGTTGCCGATGGCGCGCCTGCTGCTAACGCAAATGTTGGACGCGGCGCGAACACAGCAGCGCGTTTCAGCTGGCAGACAGATAAACGTTTAACGGGCAAACAAGTGAGGCCTGAATCGCAAGCGAGCATTGTTTTCACCAGCGATGAAGAGTACGCCGAGGAACTGGATGGTTTTAAGCCACAAACGATAATGAAATCAGCAACGGTGGCTGATTGCACTGGTTACGAAAATGTAGAGCCTGTGCGACCACAGACGCCGGAAGTAGCGTACGCGCCGTCGCGTGTAGTGAAGTTTGCGAACCCAGAGTTAGGTGAGCAGGAGACGCTGCTCTCACACACTTTGAACGAAGAAAAAGAAACTTTGAAAATGCGACGATTAACAGGTTACGTGCGCACAGTGCAGCCCGAAGAGTTATGGGACGAGATGGAGGCTAATATTAAACATGATGAAAAAGAAAAACATCTCTGGCTTGAGATCGAAAAAGATGTCAACCTCAATCGAGATTTCGCTAGCAATATTGAGGAAGAATTCGATAAAATAAGACATTCATACGAGGAAAACGAGGCAGCGTTCTTGGAGGGCAATAACAGCTTGAAGCGCTTGCCGAAACAAGTGCTGATAACGACACCGGAACCCGAAGGCTTTGGCAAAAGCATCGACGAGGATTGGGCGAGTTTTGAAAACTTAAGAGAGGATAAGCCTAAATGTGGTGAGGAAGCAGGCAAGCAAATCGTGCAATTCAAATTATCAGACTTAGAAGACGCTTACGATAAAGAATCAATACTACGTACGGAGCGACGCCCAACCGCTTTTGTGCGCAATACCGAGCAAATACAACGTGAATTGTCGAACATCGACGACGAGGACGAGTCGGCAGCCACAACATCGCACTACCAGACGAGTAGCGTTGAATTTGTGGATGAGGTCAATGAAAGCGCTACTAAATCATTTAAAGAGCGCCGACCCACGAGCTATGTGCGACCGCAAATATCCGATTTGGATGAGGATTATGTGCACGAACACAATAAAGACAGCATTTTCGAGCCAGTCGAAGAGCCGCTAACTGTACAGACCGAAGCCACAGCGCGCCCCCGTGCGCGTCAAAAAGTCACCTTCGATTTTAGCAACACAGAGTACTTTCAAACATCGCCTGGCAGAGAGGAGCAGGAAGCATTAACGAGCTTTTCAACAATAACAAACTTTGCCAGTAGTGATAGTGATACCGCAGGCGAGGACGAAGCGGCGTCACAATATTTCCCAAAAGCAATGCAGCGCATTACAAAAAACCATTACCTCGGCGAGACGATTAAAGATGTTAGTAGTGACTCCACACAAGATCAAACTTTAGCAGGCACCATCTCACCAACGCCAGTTCGGATACTTTTCGGCACACAGGTTTCGCTTGAGCAAGCCGAGAGCGAAATAAACGACAGCTGGGCTGCGATAAGGCACCGTCGACAAACCACTACAACGTCAACGCCGTTAACACCCATACTTACAAATGCAGGCGAGCCTCCAAAACCAGCCTACCGCAATCCGCTCGCACAAACAACGACGGTACAAAGCGTGACGCTCATGGAGGAACGTGTCGCGACGCAGCAACATATGAGTACATTCCAACCGCATGCGGCGGCGCGTCATCAATACTTTGAGCAGAGCTATTACAATTCAACGGAGGCTTAGCAGCGAGCAGGAGACACTTATAAAATAGCAAGAGAGTCTTAGAAGAGCAGGAGAAAAACAAAATGCGGCTCACATCTAGAGAGTAGAACTAAAGATGAATACATAATGAAATTGGAGGCTTACGTAAGACGAAAAGTATTAAATGTGGCTAAACCAAAGTTAGGTTTTAAAAATACATACATGTAATGTGCCAAAAAAAATATATTTACAGACGTTTAAGTGAAATAAAAACATAAATTTATAAAAAAAAGACCATATAAAGAAACGTAGTGCTAGCTTCTCTGGAATAATATATGATAACTGAGCTTTTAGAGAGGACGAATCATTCAAGGTAATCTACTAAAGCAGCTCTAGCAACTGAGGTTAGGTTCAGATGAGCAGCTAATATACTAAAATATATTTTATATGGGTAAAGGAAGTGCTAAAACAAAATAGTTGATCTGCTAACAGATTGTGCTAAGTAATGTTAGGTTCACTTTTTAAATATCACTGTTAATTCGCTTAAAGCTTAACACACAAAGCTCGCCAAATAAATTATACTTGTGAGAAGTCATAAATGATACTAAAATCACATCAATACAAAAAAGGCCTCCATTAAGAGTTTACAACTCAGTACTTGAACACCAAAAAACTCCTTCGCTCCCAAAAACTACACAGCCGTTGTAAATAAATACTTAAACAAGAAAAAACATTAACTTCGGTTGCACCGAAGCTATAATACACTTGACAAATACAAAATATTCCTTACAAAAGCTTGATTTTGATCACTCGATTTGTATGACTGCGATAAGCTATAGTGACTTGATCTGAACGATTTCTTCAGATATAACACCGTTGATTTAGACAATAATCCATGCCAAATTTCTTGAAGATATTTCATCAAAAGAAAAAACTTTCCATACATTCACTTTATTCCGATCGTTCAGTTTGTATGGCAGCTATATAGCTATAGTGGTCCGATATCGGCTGTTCCGACGAAGCAGCTACTTGGTGAGAAAAATACGTGTGCAAAATTTCAGATCGACAACTCAAAAACCGAAGGATTAGTTCACATAAAGGTATATAAAAGCACCCGCGAGGAGCTTCAAACCCAGTAAATAGTGTTCGTATATTTACAATGAGCTTTTTTATCCCCAGAAACTAGGGGATCGATTTTTCTCCCTATCCGACAGCAAATATTCTTACAAGACTCGTCTGATATTGCATTAAACCCAAAAAGAAAAAATGTTAACTATTTTATAGCATAAAAGGGTGTAAAAAGATCTCTATCTTGATTTTAATGCGAACAATATATTCGTAAATTATAACATTGCCTTGGATAATAATTTATGGCCAATTTCGTGAAGATATCTTGTATAATAAAAAAATTCATACAAGAACTTTCTTTGGATCCGACGATTCCAAAAATTAAGCAGCTTCTTGGTGAGAAAAGCGCGTGTGCAAATTTTAAGATCGATATCGGAATTTGGAAATCGGCTCAGTTCGTCTGATCATTTATATGTGTATATTCTGAATGGTCTCCGAGCTTTACTTCTCGGTGTTACAAGCATTGTGGAAAACTTAATTTACGATGTTCATGGTATAAAAAGGGAATTGATACCGCTGAAGATCTAAAAGTATCAAGTTTATTATAAAAACGCAGATAAAACAGAAGATTGTTGCTTTCGAAAGGTGCACTATATCATCCCTGTCTTTGAGCCTCAAAGAAAGTTAGAATCGGTTATAATAATTGAATATGACCCACCCTACTAAAACAACACAAACGTATTTAGAGCTGGATACATATTTGGGTTTTCACTCTCACCCTTTGTCGTCACACTCTGCCTTTTACAGACTTATATGGTAAAAATACTACATTTGACAAAGTTTTCAGGTTAGTTTTTTGTAAGCCAAGTTGACATTTAGAAATCAGTTTCAACAACAAACAAAAATCAATTTAATGTACCAGAGACTCTGTTTTCAAATACTAAGAGCTTTAATTTGCTATTGAGAAATTGTGCTAATGAGACTCAAAAAAGGGAAAACCAATGTTAAATAATTATCTTTGGTTAGAACTAAATGGCAAGGAATATTCTAAGCAATAATCTCTAAAAAGCCAACATATGTTGTTTCCAAAATGTTTTTGACTTTAGAAGATTAAGTTTAAACTTTTCTTGTAGCAAAATATCTTTGAAAAAATATGATTTTGTGAAATAAAAAAGACTGACCTTATAGATTAATATTACTTTTTACAAAACCACAACAACACTCACCTGTGTAATTTGGCCAGCGGAAAGTGCAAACATAATTTCTGATGAAACTCTGTGAATTCCTTATATGAACGAAACAAATGCGTCGGATCAGTTTGACCATGACGCGTCACACGTAGAATATAGGTATAATACTTTTCCATATCATAATGTTTCTGACAGCGCACCACCATAACGCTCCGCAGCCGTCCATCCTGTTGCATGCTGTGCAGGGATATAACGGTACATAAATGAAATTCACATTAATATAGAGCAGCTGCTTACGTGTATTTACGCGGCACGAAAGAGAGCAGTTCACCGCTACCCTCATCATTGCTGAAACGCATTTGCGCCAAATTGTGCAAAAAGAAATTGAATTGTGTGAACCAGCTCTTCAGCGAGAATTGTATCATTTTGGCGAATGAAGCAGCCGCCTCGGGATTCGACTGTTCGTGCAGCAAAGCGCCACGCACATAAGTCACGGCATCGGCCGTCACACCCGGTATGCCGGCTGTGGCCATTAGAGCAAGCATGTGCAGAATGAGATCACCATGTTTTCGTATGATATTGAATGCACGACAACACAAGTCGACGAAATAATGAAAATCTGTGGAGGGTTTGTCGCCGCCATTAATCACATATGCCATGTCGGAGGTGAGTACGAACGGTGTGCGGTCCCTATGCATTAAAGAGAAAAAAAGAGAGAGAGAGAGGGAGAGAGAGAGAGAGAAGAAGGAGAGGAAGTTTTGGAATAAAATGTATTAAAGTGAAAAATTGTAAGTTTTTACCTTTTGAAATTGCCAAACATTTGTGCATCGCCTAGGAATTTGCCGAAATCTATATGAAACAGATGACCCGAGGTCTTTAGCATAATATTGTCATTGTGACGATCACAGATGCCGAGTATATAAGTGGCCACGCTATAGCCGGCGCAAGAAACTGCAAAAATATTAAAAGTAAGGAAATGTTGAGTATGGAAGAAACCGAATATTTAATGAAAATTTGAAAGTTTGGAAAAATAACAGAACTCAATTTAGGATGGAATCGAAAGCATATGATATATTATACGGATATCGAAAAATGATTTTTGAATTAGGTAAAAGTATAGACACTACGACAGTCGGCTCTTCGTAATCGTCGACTTGACAGCTTTTCTCAAAATCATTTGGGAAATATTTTTTATACTACAACAAAAAAAAAACTACCGATCAACTTCCACAATAGCCGGAGCTACGATACCAGAATTGACCCTGACTTTATACAGTCAAGGACTGGTATTTCAGCGATCTAACCCTGCTTAGATCGGTAAGTAGTATTGTTTTGTCCATTCTTGTTTAAGTTTTAACTCGATACTCTTCTTAATACATCAGTTCTCTATTCTAAATTCAAAAAAACCTTGGATGGTCCAATATGTTATTATTTCTAAAGACGGAAACATTGTGTTTGTATTAAGTTTAGTTTTCCTTCCTTCTCATATCGTCAAAAGGCTTAAGCTCTCTTGGAAATATACCAATTTTCGCGAACACTGCTTCAAATGCTCACCTGTAAAATTTTTCACCGCACGTTGATACTCCAATTGACTAGGATTCTGTTTCGCCAACCATTCAGCAATCGGACGATCCTTGAACGAACCCGTTAAACCATATTCGACTTGTATTTTACGTAAAGTTTCCGCATCGGAGACCAGCTCTATCATGCCCTTCTTAAAACCCGTTGGTACACAATTAAAGGTGACCATTTTTAGATCCAAACCCTCGGCCAACCACATTTTGTTCATCACACGTATGAGTTGTATGGTAAGCATATCCTGCTGTAGGTCGTCACCGGACTGGAAGATTTGTTAAGTATATATTACTTTCAATTTATAAAAAATTTAAGTTCACAAACGAACCTTAAAAATGGCCGGCAATACTTCACCATCTGAATTTATGTAGGAAATTTTTAAGGGCAGCGTATTGGAGTTGAAATAACTGCAGCTGCGCACATTTACACCGGTCACTTCCAATTCGGGACCTAGCGGCAATGAGGTGGGTTTGTCATTCAGCTGTTGATGCACGATTTCCATACCGAAGCAAAGTGTTTTCTGACGCAACGATTCTTTAGCCTGCTTCACAGAATCAGCTAGACTTGCCAGACTCTAAGGAGAGCGAAAATATATGATACGTTTTTATAAATAGGAAATATTTTTTGTACAAAATAATATTTGTCGCACTTTCTCTCGAACTACACCTTTCTCTACCTATCGATCTATCTCTCCCTCTCTCGATCGATAACTCTCTCTCAATCTATAGCTCTCCCTCGATCTATAATTCTCTATCCATCTATAAATATCTCTCTCAGTACACCTATTTCTTTATCTCTCTGTCGATTTATCTCTCTCTCTCTCTCGATCTATATCTCTTTCCCTCAGACCCTCGATCTAAGTCTGTTTCTCTCGATCTTCTCGATAAATCTTTAACTCTCTCTCAATCTAGAAACATCTCTTTCAGTGCACTGTTTCTCTCTTTCTCGATGTATCTCTCTCTCTCCTTGTATATCTTTTTCTCTATCGATGTATATCTCATTTAAGTCCTTTTCCCCATATATAATTTCTTCCAAAACTCTCATTCTCTCTACCTAACTATCTCTATATTTATGTTTCACTCTTTATATCATTGGTTCTCCTTATATTCCTTTCCCGCTCACCTTGCACATTATATTCTGACTGAGGAAACGCGCCAATAGCCGCTCACCGCACACCGCCAGCAGCGCGCGCAGCATAATTTTGTTCCGACGGTAGTAACGCGCTTGCGTTATCAGCGAGTCGTCAAACTCATTCGCCACAGATGAAGCATCAATCGAGTTCTGCGGATCATCACCCGGCAAACTGTGTACGAGTAACCAATACATATGATGTGCAATGCGCGGTGATTCCAAGCACTTGCAGAGCAAGAAGTTGGCCATATCCGATGCCTCGTAGGTGTCATGCTTGAGCGCTTGCAACAATTGTGGCAAATAATCAACCAGCTGATCGTTGGGCAGCTGTGATATCCACTCGACCGCCTTCTGACGCACTTTCGCATCTGGATAACGTGGTAACAGCAATTCGAGCGCTTGCAATGGTGAAAGTGGTGCCCACGAATGCAACAGCGAGTGCAGATCCATAAGACTGGCATAGTCCCAACTATGCGCGGCATGTAACACCTTCGGCAAGGCGTAGGGAAAACTCTGCAAATACAAACGTTTCTCCCAGAAAACTTCACGCTTATCCTTCGCACCCGAATAACCCTGTTCGGCGGTATCGAGCAGCTCTTGCTGTAAATTCGCATCCAACGAATTGAAATCGCAACGTGGCGCCGGTTGTGGCTGCTCCAACGGTTCAGGGAACATAATACGTCCACCATAAGGTGGTACTTCTATACTCAGTACCGGACATAGATCCGGTTGTGGATGGCAGCCACGCGCAGGCGCCGGACCCAGAAACTTATCCGTAGTGGGGGGCCACATCGACAACAAGTAAGAGCCGCAAATCATTTCACGCTTATGATCGAACAATTGTATGGCACACCAACCCAATTCGGTGGGCACTTGTCGGCGTTCGCCATTCGCATCGGTGTTCTGTTCATTCTCCGTCGTTTGTGTGCCGTAAAGCACAAATATCAGACGTGACTCGCGTGGCAGCGTACAGATAGCATTCTTCTCGAATGTAAGCCATGAAGAGAAGTTGAGACGTGGAAATAGACCGCCGCTCATATCATTCGAACACTTCGTGACAATAGGATCGGATATGAAGCGTGTGCCATAGTTGATTTGTACGCCGAGCGAGTAGTCGTCGTAACGCCAAACGGGCGGCGGACGATGCAAACAATTTACGCTTACGACAATCGGTTTCAGTACGCACGAAATGGGCATGGGTGCTGTAAAAATAAAGAGCAAGATAAATTTAAAAATTTCTGCATACTAATATATTTTTTTTATACTTACTAGTCGAGTAATCCATCGATTTGACAGAGAAGCCTACGCGAAACACATTCGAATACAGTTCGATCAGCTCTTGTACGGCATCGCGCAGCTGATTGCATTTCAATTTAATTTGATCGAGCATAGGGCGTGGCACTAAGCGCACCTCCGCGTAATCGCCCCGTTCGCTAACAATCTCCGGATTTGTATCGGTGGAGTGCGAGGCATACTTCACTTGTCCTTCTTCGCATATGCGTTTGAGATCGGCTATGCAAGCCGAGATTTCTAGCGTGTCTATAGAGCCGAGTAGGGCGCATATAGCTTTGACGGCCTGCACAACTCCCGAGCAGGAGAGTATTTGACGCGAATTCGGATCGGCGCTCTCCAGCTTATCTATTTCGGTTTCAAGTGTTTCTGTGAAAAGAAGGTATATACAGTTTATTTCATATATAATGGGCTTATGTATACAAAAATAAAGGCATATTAGTAGTTTCAAAAAAAAGTTGCATACTTTCAGGAGCAATCTTAAATTTTTTACTTTTTTTGATTTTAGAATTAATTTACACATCTCTAATACAAGTATAAATAAAGATTGCTTTTCTTTTACTATACTAAATTAATTTGTAAACTGGAAAAATTCCGGATTACATGTTTTTCTCTTAAAATTGTAACTAATTACGGCATCAGTTTTCAAGTAAAAATAATATTTAATATATCGTTTTCAAAATTATAATTAAAAAAAAAATATTTATTTCAAACTTTTCTCTTTTATTGCAAAACAGCAAGATTTTCAAGTACTTATGTATATTATTATTAGTCTAAGCTGCTTTTAGGCGCAATATATGAAATAAATATAAAAAAATTGATTTTAATTGATAAAATCGAATTTTCTAAAATATAATTTTGAAAAACTTGAAAAACGAGTTCTAAAACTCATTTTAAAAAATCTCATAATTATTAACGCAGTTTTTAGTAGGATAAATAATAATAAATTTAAAAAAATTAGTTAATTTTAAAAAGGAAATTCGCAAAAACATAATTTTTTATAATTTTTCGAAATTTAATTTTTTTAATCTGCAAACTTGTTTTTTGGCGTTTTCTTTAATGAAAAAAAAAATGGAAAGTCATACATTTTGAAAAAAATGTCAAAATATATTTTTTGTTTTAAAAATCTTTTGAAAACAGTTCAGATTATTTAAAATTAAAAAGTTCGACTTAAGAATCACAAAAACTTGAAAGAACTTAAAATAAATTTTGAAGATATATATATAATAATGAGAATATATTTATTAAATTTTTATTTAATACTTTTGAAAACAGGCAAGATTATCGAATTATTATAAAATTATTATATAAAAGAGTGGAAAATTATTTTAAAAAATATTAAAATGTATTTTGAAAAACGAAATGGTTTTTCTTAAAATCTTTTGCAAACAGGTCACATTATCTGGTAATTTGAAATTAAAAAGTCTTGAAAAAAGTTAAAATATATTTTTAAAATTATATAACTGAATTTTTTTCAATTAATTTAAAAACAGATTACTATAATATTTTAAATTAAAAAATGAAAAAAAATACAAATTTTGAAAAAAATAAAACTATACAATATATTTTAAAAAATTAAGTTTATGCATTTTTTATAATTGTTTTGAAAACAGACAAGATCATCGAATTACTATAAAATTTCTTTTTTTGAAGTGGAAAAAATCACAATATATAATATAATGAATATTGAAATAAATTTTGAAAAATTAAATATGTTATTTTTCAAATTTTTTTAAACAGTCCAGATGAACAAAACGTTTTAAATATAAAGTTCAAGATAATAGAGTTCAAAATTATTAAAAAACTAATTATTTGAATTGTTACACATTTTTTTACAATTTTTAGAAAAAAACTAAAGTTAAAAAAATTTTATTTTCAGCAACATTTCCTCAATACATACCTATCAATATCATCATGTCATCGTAATTAATGGTGGTTGCCATTTCATTCGGCACAATATCGTCGGCCCGCAGCTCAGCGTCGCGCAAATCATCGCATTGCGTACGCGCTATGACGTGCATATTCTCATCGGACTTAACGCAGAGACCCAACTGCACATCCTGTTCCAGTTTCAAGCTGTTGTGCACACATTCCAATTGACTAAGCTTCGACGTGGGTGACAGCCATTCCGATACACCGATAGGCTGGAAGTAAGGAAAAATTGTTATATAAATATTATGATCCTTCGCGGATAGATAAAAGTGCGGTACATAAAAGGAAAGTACTGCGTTTCGGTAATAGTCAGCACGATGTAAGCCACACGGATCGAGTCTTGAATACTATGATTTTAGTCACATACTCCACATCGTCATAGTTGTTTAAGGTGTTACAACATTGCTATTTTTAGTGTATTTTGTTGTTATTTCACGAAAGTTGTTTTTTTATAATTCAAAATTATCAATAAAGGATTTTTATTGTTGTGGCAGCGGCAAAATCATTGTATACAAATAGTTGTAACGAGTTCTACCGAGCTAACAATCGGCTATAAGTTCGGTAACGTTCCGCTTACGTGGATCTAACTGTAGAGGGAGTGTTACTGGTTACATATTATGATTATTACTGGTTATTGTGATCGCTACTTGCAATTATGTAAGCACGTGTAGACCTTCTAAAAAATCTATAGCTTCACTACAAAACCCGGCACGACCAAAGTCAATAAGTTTCTTAGGGAGAAAAGGCGCACATGTCTAAATCGACTCAGATCGTCACGCTGATCACTTATATATATGTATGTGTTACAAACTTTGTTGAAAACTTAACATATCCTGTTCCGTATATAGTCGTAGATATACATATACAACAACAACACTCCACAATGCTTGTACTTCACTCACCTTCACCACATAATCACTGGGTGTGCCACTTATTTGACCCTCCAATGAGCAAAACGCCTGATCAATGACCAATTCCACAGCCGTATTAACTGAAACGAATTTTAATAATTATTATTAAGAAAATAATAAAATTGTGAACAAATCACACTCACTATCACATGTGAATACCACGGGCACACCATAACCCTTCACCTGCCCCTGTGTGCGCGTCAAGTCAGCGGTCGAGAGCAGTGCTTTCAAAGCGGGATGCACTAAAATCTTAATGCTCGTCTCCAAGGGGTAATGATAATTGAATTCCGATGCAATTATGTGACCAGGATTGGTATGCTTATCATTATGCAAGTAACGCATACGCAACTCCTTGACCATGTAATAGAATTCCAAGAGTTCCGGATCAACAGTACGACGTTCGGTGACCACCTCGTATAAGCGTGTGCTGGTGGTTTTTCGACGATCCAGCGTGGCGCTCGGACGCGCGTAAGAGTTTGCGATGGTGTGAGAAGTGGACGGCACAGCAGCAGTTGCATTGCTGACACTTATGCTGCTGCTACTGCCGAAACTATTGTCGCGCTTGAGCGTAGGATAGAGACCAGGCAAAAATGGTGGTGAACGTGAGCCGCTATTTCGTGGCGGCAACGGTGGTGGTGGCGAACGCGAACCACTAGTTGTTGCTTCGTGCGACTGCGAAGGTGTAGGGCTGGCGGCGGCAGGAGAACGCGACAAATTGTTGAGCACTTCATCGCGATTGAGATAGTCCGTACGCCAACCAATCGAGGAGACTGTTGAAAGGCGGAAAAATTAAGTTAATAATTTATATTATTTTAATTATATTTATATGGTCACTCACCATTTGGGCTCACAGCGCTCTTCTCCAACTTATTGACCGCCTCATAAACGGGATCCGAGTACTGTGTACCGCCGCCACTGTAGAGATAATCAAATGGATCGTATTCCGCATAGTAGGAAGTACAATCCGAGTCATCATCGCAACCTGTAAGCAGTGAATGCATCGTTTTATACTCGCACAAGTTAGACACTAACTCGTTATACGGGAAAATTTCACTTTCGCAATTGTGAGCGAAATGCCAAAAACAAAAACAAGAAAATGACGCAAAAATTGCCGCGAATCACATTGGCGTAAATTAATTATAATAAAGAGCCGCCGACGATTTAACAAATCATATTTTGTTGTTGTTATTATTGTTGTTGTTTTGCTTACTTAAAACCAGCTGAATACTATAAAAACGAAAAAGTGTTCAAATATAATACAAAATATCGCGCTTGGCCGGGAGACAGCGCCGACAACTACAATGACCTGCCAAACACACGAAAACTACCACTACAACTACAACTACAAAAAAAATCAAAAATTAAATATTTTTAATAATAGAATGTCGAAAAAGCAATTATAACAAAGAAACACATATGTGGTGTCAATAAGTAAAGCAATCTGCCGTTGTAAACACGGAGCCACAGACGAATTTCCACATTTACAAGTACCTAAAATAACAACAACACAACAGCAGAACATTTTCAGATTTCAGCGACAATTAATGGGTCGATTATAACTTTAGAACTGCGTGCCAAATGAAAAAAATAATTGTGAAAGTGAATGGTGTGTAAAACAAAACAAAAATTTAGATGCAATAAAATAAAAAAAAATTTATGACTAAAACAAAATGAACTTAAAAATCAAATAAGCAATATAATAATTATAAATAACAGAATGTTTAATATTTTGCTAATTTACAAATAACTACAAAAAGCTAAAAATAATTTATAAAAAAAAATTATGAAAAATAGTTTATGAACTATATATAAAAAAAAATACTAAAAAAATATATATAATATGTAATTTCATATTATTTAATAAAGCATAAAAAGTTTAAAAATAAATAGAATTTAATTTAAAATATAAACAGTTTTCAAATTATGTACAACTTAAAAAAATTAAATTTTTAAAATTTAAGTATTGAAAATAATTTAAAATAATTAACAAAATAAAAAATAAAAAAATTAAAAAACGAAAAATTAATTAATATATAAAAATTTAGTATCAAGGAAGGATTGAAAATAATTTGGGTAATAATTTTTTATGATTCAAACATAATAAAAATTAAAAAATAAAAACAATAAAAAGCTATAAAGGTAAACATAAAACAAAATTAAAATAAGCATTAAAATAATAATAAATATAAATATATCTTACAAATTATATCAAACTCAAAAAACAAACAAAATTTTATATATTTAAATATGCCAAAAATTTAAAATTAAAATATAATTTATTTTAAAACTAAAATAACAAAAAAAAAACATTATTTTAAAATATAGTTTATTTTGTTTATGAACTAAATATAAAAAATAATAATTTAAAATATTTACATACATACATATAACATAACAGTAAATAAAATAATAAATAAAAAAGTATCAAAAAATACAATATAATAATTTTATTTATAAGACAAATTATCAAAAATGCTATGGTTTAATAATTTGTTATTATTCAAACACAGAAAAATTAATAAAAAATTTAGCAACTAAAAAAAATGTTTTTTAATAAAAACAATAAAAATTTAATGAAAACGTAAAAAAAATGGTTAATATAAAATGTATAAAAAACCAAAAAATATGCAAATTAATAAAATAGATAAAAGCAGCATAAATAAAATTATTCGAAATATTAAAACATTTAGAATTTATGTCAAACATAAAAAAATAAAAACAAATTAAAACAACATAAAAAATAATAAAAATATAATAAAAACGTAAAAAAAAATTATTTCATATAAAAATATAAAAACCAAAAAATAAAAAAATTAATAAAATAGATAAAGTAACATAAATAAAATGATTCGAAATATTAAAAAATTTAGAAATTATGTCAAACATAACAAAAAATTAAATTTAAATAATAATAATTTAAAATAGAATAAACCAGAGTTATACATATTTTTTTCAATTTACGTTGGAAAAAATTAAACATAAAAAAACTTTAACTAAAAATGTATTTAAAAAAAAAATAAACAAATTCAATTATAAAAAAAAACAAATTTATTAAATAATAAAATGTAATAATAATAAAGAATAAACTATATAAAGCGTTTAGAAATTATGTCAAACATAAAAACAAATTAATTTCAAATGTTACAAATAGTTTAAAATAAGATAGTAGAATAGTGATATATATTAGAACAATGATAAATGTATGAAAATAAACAAACAAGTAACTAATTTGAAATAATAATAAACTCTAAATTTTTTTAGTTTTTTTTGTTTTGTGAATAACAAGAATAACAAAAAATTTAAATTAATAAAACAGTAAAATTCTAGAAATTAATTCAAACAAAAACAAAACTTCAGTCAAAATATAATATATTAATAAATTCAAATAAAATACATTTTAATTAAACTATAATGTTTTAATAAAAAATGTATTATTTCTCAATTAATTTAATTGTATTTATTAACATATCTAATAAAATAAATATTACAGATTATATTGTACAATATATAAATTGTATTTAATTATTTTTTTACACCAAATATTTGTAAAAAAAAAGTTACAAAACTTAATTTCAACACAATTTGAAAAAAAGAAGGAAAGAAATATAGAAAGCGGAAGCAGTTTTCGCTTGAAAAATTAAAAAATTAAACAAATATTTATTTTAATAAATTTTTTGAAAGGATTCTACAAAAACAAAAAGTACTTTCATAAAATAATTTATATATAATAATATTTTAATTTAAAAAATAGTATTTAATCAGGAGTTAATTTATTATAATGTTGCTATTTATAAATATAAAAATAATAATTACTAGGTAAAATTATATGCAATTAAATAAAGCTAAAGTAATTAATATTATATGTCAAATTAAATTTAAAAAATTATATACATTAATAATAAAATAATGTCTCATTAAAAAAATAAATAAAATTAAATTACTTATATAAAAAAAATTATTACTAGGTAAATTTTTACCTCTTTTGATATAATATAAATAAATCTTGTCAAACGCAAATTAAAAAAAAAATAAAAAATAATAAAAATATGTATAAAAATTACAAATAAAAGGTAAAAAAATTAAAATCTATATAAAAATAATAATAAAACAGTAAAAAAAAAATTAAATTAAATTATAATAAATAAAACCCATAAAAATTTAAAATAAAAAAAATAAAAAATGTATAAAAATTACAAATGAAAAGTAAAAAAATTAAAATAAATATGAAAAAAAAAAAATAATAAAACATAAAAAACAGTAAAAAATAAAATTAAATTAAATTAAAATAATTAAAAACCATAAAAATTTCAAATAAAAAGAACTGTAAAAATTTTAAATAAAATAAATAATTCCAACCAACCACAAAACACCGTACTAAATATGTTAAGAAAATATTAAAAATTAAGCAAGCTTTATGGCCAACTGTTCCAGCGTACTAAACTAGAAACGATAACAATAAAATTAGCCAGTTGCTAAATCAAAAACAAAAAAAGTTTTATACTCCTGTGTGCACACATGAGAAACATAGCTACTATTTTAAGCAAAACACGAGGAAAAAGCAGAGGCATATTAATATATATGCATATATAAAATATATATATATATGTTGTTGGAAATAGCACACACTTGAAGCCTGTTAGTTATAGCATATCAGTGCTAAACGTGTAGCCGAGCGGTGAATATGTAGATACAGCCGCCTAATACTGGGACTTATTGACTTGACTGGCAGCTAGCTAATGGATTAAGAAGTGGCCGCGGTATTTTCTCGCAAATCTGCATACACAAATGTTAATATGCACAACAAGACAATTTGACAGTCGAATTTGTACGGTATTAGAGCGTGGAAATTGTTCGGAAAATTCGCACATGTCAGTTTCACTTACTTTTTATTGGTTGGTTTATTAATATAAATATGTTAGATGTATATGAAAATTGGAAAATATTCGGAATTTTCAGTTTTTTGAAAATCGGATACAAATAAATAATACGAAATAGTCTACGTTTTGGCGCCATAATACTATTCTAACACTCGGATAACTTTCGACTTATTTCATAATTTTTCAATATATTTATATAAATTGTAAAACGAAGATAAATATTTTGGGTTTTTTAAGTTTTATACTAAATATTATAAAGGAAAATATGTGGATTTTTTGTTGTTTTTTTGAAAGACAGACGAGTTAAGCAAAATGGTGTCTACTTTTAGGCAGCACATAATTTAATTATATTGTATATACTAATTTCATTTTATATTTTGAAGAATTGTTTGTATATTCATGCATTCAGCAGAGGTTTGATGACCACTGGGCTTGACCTGTTACTTTAAGCTCATACTGGCGGCATAAAGAAATGGATTTTAAGTAGAATTTAATGGTTAAACGAATACTAGTTATCGTACTGTGCGATAAACGAAAAGATACAGTTTGATGACTAAAAATCAACCATTTTGAACTGTAAACTGTTTCTTTTATGTTTCGTACTCAAAAATAGCGCTATAAAAATGGCCTTTCATATAATTTTTTTTTTATTAAAATTTTATATCAGTCAATTTCCACAGAGATTATCGTCATAAGTTTGCTTTTTTAGAATTTTGTAAACATATTGTTAGTTAATGTTTTTATCTAAAAACTAGAAAATTAATTGATTTTTAGAAGAGTAATTTATACAACTCGCTCTAATTTGTTTTCGAAAAAGTCGTTCTTCCAGAAATCAAAAGCGAATCAAATACCTGATTTTAAAATATATTATTACTATGAGTCAATGAGAAATGACTGTGATTTTTGAGCCGATTTAACCAGAAAAAATACGGCAACAACTTAAATTTTGATTGAAGTCTTCCAACAGGAATACTAACGAGCAAATGGACTAAGTATCATCGCTAAATCGCCACAAAATTCGACGCAGACTTATAACATAGAATTGATAACCTTACTTATGAAATCATATTACTCATAATAAAGTTAAAATTTGCCTAGATAAAAG